TAAATGGGCCTGTGCTTTTTTTTCAATGAAATGTTTTTTTTAAATGTTTTTGGGCCCTCTGCTGATTTGTACTGGACTTGTGGTGACTGGAATTAAACTTCCACTTTTTTTAATAAAAAATATCTTTTTAATTAGCAAACAAAATAGAATTTTATAAAGTGATATTAGTATAAAAAATAATAAAGATTAATAAAAATAATATTAGTTACAATTTAAATAATAGTAAAAAGAATGATGCTGATAATAATATTTATAATTTAAAATCGAGAACAAATATTTTCTTTAAAACAAAAGAAACCGAACGGGTCGTAAAATTCCTTTTTAAGACAAATTAATCTTAATCATACCTTAAATAAAAAAAACATTAGTATAATTATTATTAATTAGTATAAAGAAATAATAATAATAATAAAGTTATAACAAAAAATATATTTTTAAACAAACTCAAATTTTTTGAAATAGACCGCTGTTTCTTAAATATTTAAAACAAAAATAAAATACTTTATACCCCAATTAATCTAAATGGGTCTTATGAATCGTTCCTACTCCCTTTGAAACAAGTACACCTTCCTCGATTTGGAATGGGCGTTTATTAGAGTTTAATGGACCATCAGATACTAATGGTCTATTTTGGATTGTTACCTCCTGCTCTGATTTTAAATACCCCATAAAGGTGAGAACTAAATAATACGATTTATTTGAAGAAACCCTAGATTAGGATAGGACAAATTTAGGGTATGACATCACGCCAAATCCAAAAGAAAACAAAATTAGATTCTAAATTCCAGATTTATACAATACAGAGGTTGATATCCGACATCTTCACCATATCACACTCAAATCTCAGAACCACGCAGAAAAACATTAAAAAAATCATGGATTCCAATGTCCAAAACTCCTACGAAAATTGAAATCTGGACGCTTTTGTTTAAGTGTTGACAATCAAATATTTCCCTCTCCATTTCCCTTTTCATTTCAACAAAGTTATCCAAAACATAACTCGTGTGCATACTTCCACTCCAACATTCTTCAAGCATTCTCACAACTTAAACTCTCTTGCATTCAAGTCTAGTACATCTCTCAACCTCTATTCTACTACAATCAATCTAGGATCTTCCATCTCTCACATTTGATAAATTTCTCATTTCTTAAGTTTTTTTTATGTATGCATTAACTAAATAGATTGTAGTTATGCCACATTAGATTACATGCAGTAAAAGTGATATTTTGGTTTTTTCATTATTATAGTTGATTTGAAAATTTAAAGGTTTGAGTTTAGGGTTTATGCATTCTCTATTTCTCCTCCGTCTGTGTTGGTTTCGTATAATCCGGGTTTTGAAATTCGGACTCTTAGTCTAGATAACAAAATTCAAATTTATATGTTAGTTTTGCTTTTTGGTTCGGTTTGCCAATATCTTCTTTGATTATGATTTGATTTTTCTTATTTGATTATAACAAAATAACTGACAACCAACAAAGAATGAGACATGATAAAGTGATTCAACTTGCTTTTATTTTTGCAAGAAAAAAGTTAGACCCCTGTAACCCGTAGTTTGAGAAGTTTTATTTAATGCAGATGCATCGCCTTCTCGGATTAATGTGTTTCATGTTGCATCTAGAAGCCCTTACTACCCCAATCCATGCTATTAAATATGATACTTTCCTGCATGCTATTAACTATGAATTTTATACTTTTCTTGATTAAGGTCGTATTAGTAATTTTGCTTGAGTGAATTGCAGTGAAAATAAAATAATGAAAGTAAATTGCAGAATTAAAAGGATATGGTAAAATAGGTTATACCCAAGATTTATACAAGTTTGACTGAACATGACATAGTCCTGTCCCTAAGAGGTCTTCTTGAGAGTTTGACTATAAATTTTGAACTTTTGAAGGTTATTCTCATGAACCTTTAGACAAGATGATCTTGATATTTTTACAAGCTTATCCCCAACCACAAATAGCTTTTACCACAGTCTAAGCTAGAACATTCTTAGAGATTTTCAGGCTGATCTCAATAACCAAAAAACAAAGCTTTTTTCGGTAAAGTTCAATAAACTACAATAAAGATTTTAAGACTGATTTATCTCACAAACCAAACTCAATCCTCTCAAGAGTTGAACAAATAACACATCCACTTACAAAAAATCTTCCTCACAAGCAAAACTTCACTTACAAGCACTAAAGTAATATCAAGTGAAAGAAATATTTTCTAGAGAGAGAAAAAATTAGAGATATAAATTCGAAAGAAAATATAAAATGTTGGAAAATGGTGTGAAATAAAGTGGAAACCAGTCTCTTTTATATATGAGTTGGAAAATCTTAAAATGGGAAATAATCCATGGGCCAAATCAATGAGTCAATCAATTGGCATAAAACTCCAATCAATTGATCAACTCATTTATAATCGGTTAGCAAGCCCAAAAAGGAAATACTAGATATAGAGTCATTGGAAGTCATTAATGTGTTGTCATAAGTTTCTGATTAATCGATTAGCGCTTCTCTAATCGACTGACTTAATGCTTCAATTGATTGATTGACTTAGAAAAGTTTTGCCAATTGATTGGAACAAGTTAAAAATCAATTGGTTAGTTCAAAATTTATTTGGAAAAGATTTGAACAACCTTTTAATCACTTGACTTGACTTAGAAAATATTTTTCAAGATAAAAATATTTGAGAAAGATATTTTAAGGTCTGTATGTGTGAGAGTTGCCTTAGTACTTCTAAGTTACTTCCTTACTTTTACAAAACTCAGTCCACTTAAACAAATATACAAACATGACCTGGTGAGTTTCACACTTTATGTAAGGCTTTATGATTCCCTGCTAGATTGCTTCTGATCATATAAGCACTTGAATATCGAGTATCCTTTTGTTGATGAGACATGAGATGTTTTTCTGATTAGATTACCATCATCAAGGTTGAAAGTTATTGCCATCGATTTTAATCCTCATTATCGTCATCAAAACATCAAAGAGGATCTTTTGCGAAATTGTCAAGTTTATACTTGTAAACACATAAATCCATATATGAGTTTTCATTTATGTATCCATATCTACCTGAGTGAGTCCTACGCTAGTTTAGATATACGCAGGGTGCCTAAATACTCAATCATTGATGCTCTCACCTTTGACATCCATATAAATATTGATGGAATATTTGTGAAGTACTATGATCCTCTAGTCTTAGAGGATGTACATCGTGTGTCAGCTCCTTGTCTATGGCGTATCACACACGACTACATTCAATAATTTTATACAGTATCATATCCTCACATGACACCAGATACACGAGGAGGTCCTCTAAACCAGCTCATCAGGAGATATTAGAAGAGGAGTAGACAATGATGGATCATGTTGTTGATGTGTCGCAGATATGTAATCTTATTGTGCCTATTGAGAGATTGACCTTAGATAGAGAAAAGTTTGAGGAAAACACTCCGTATGTAATCACTTTATAGACCATCTTAGCATAGACATATACTGTGTTGTAGCACATGAGACAGACGGGAAACATGAACGTCAGAAATACAAAATAGTTGTCTTTTATTTTGTATTTGATATTAACATTTTAGATATTTGTAATATGATTTATTGTATTTTATAAACACCGATGTATTATTTACCAATATTTTATTTGAATATTTGATCATATACTAAACTATAAAAAAGTATTTTGGATTTTTCATAAGGTTTGCGAACAACACATTTAACTTTGATTAGCTATAACATTTGATTTATGATAAATTTTCTTTTTAATAAATTAATTATAAATTATATTATGAAATACAATTATTTTATCATAAGTTTAAGGTTATAAGTATATTGTGAAATGAAGTTGTTTTAAAATGTCAATTCATAAGTCCTTTTACAAAAGTCTCATTTATTTATAACTAGCATACACCTTTTATGAATATATATTATAAATATTTCGGCTTTACAAACTTTTATAAAATCTTATAAGAGAATAATTTGACTTCGTTAGTAAGTTATAGAGTCGAATATTCAAATAAATAAATAAAAACGAGTAATTACTTGAGCATAGGGTAAGTCCTAGTAATAGGTCACAATCAAATAACCCTGCCATTGTAATTTGACCATTTAGCTTTTACTCTTATATATACATGAAGAATATTATTTCACATTTAAAAATTACATTTGACAATTTTTTAATATTTTGAATTAAGATTCAAAATATTATTTCTCATGTATACAGCAATCCATGGATTTTAAAAATAAAAAAAATAAAAAATAAAAAATAAAAACTATACATGTAGAGAAGGAAACTTTTTGACTTTCAGAAAATGTGTCAGCAAAGTCCATTTTCTAGCCTTAACAAATTTAACTTCATCTGAAATCAAACAACAGCCTCACAAGATTCCCTCTCTTCAAAGTACTTATACCAAACTTCTTCTCTCTCATATATCCCAATATAACAAGTTAAAAAAATGTGAAGATTAAATCCATGACACTTTTTTGTCTTCAATTCCTCATTGTACTACTATGCTCTATACATGACAAAACATTTTTAATAACTTACCTGAAAAAACTAAACCTGCAGGGTTGACTTTTTTTTTTTATGCAGACCAAATTATTATCTTCAAATAAATTATTACTTGTACCACAAAAACTGCAAAAAGTCAACAAGGGCAACCTTATTTTTTTGTGTTTTGCAGCCATTGAAAGTAAACATGACTTTTGGAATTCTCAATGTTTTTTTTTTTGTTACAAATTTTATTTCCTATTAATAAGTTCTTTTTGTAGTTTCTATCATAATAAGCTTTTATGTGTTTGTTCTTGAGTGATTAATTTGTCTCTTTCTCTTCTTTTCCGCAAGTGAACGGCAGAATCCGTGACCACCCACGTTCTATATAGATCTTCCATCTCATTTTTTCTGCAAAAAGTCGAAGTTTTTGGATTGGTTTGTGAGTTTTTCATTGTATTGATCATCTGGGTGTGGAGAATTTGAAATTTTTCACAGGTGAAGAAGTAGTTGAACTGAATGGATACTCTTTGTTGCTTCAACTCTGTTAGTAAGGTGATGATAGTTTTTGAATTAACCTTTATATCTTTTAACTAGTCTCTGAAATTTTCTTGTTTGTATAAAACCTAACTTTAGGATTATGTTTTGGTGATTTGAGGATTGTTAGTTAACTTGATGAAAAAGCTTGAGACTACTTAGGTTTATTTTGTGGGAATCAGTAACATCATAACAGTAACGGACAATGTTTTTGCATTTTCGGTCGGTTTAGGTGTTGCAACACTGATTGCAGTAGTTGCGTTGAATTTACTATAATTTGTTCTTTATCACAAAAATAGTGAATAATGGAATCGGTATCAGCATTTTCCGATACTGTTTTTCGCGTCCATTTTCGAAATATTGGGCCGTTTTTAAGACCTTACAAATGGAGCAGAGGGAGTATTTGTTAAGAGTGGTATATTATTTAGTGATTGTGTTTTAATTTTGGAATCTCTAGGCTGTTGGATCATGTAGCTCTGGCAAAGGCAAGAGCAATCAGTACCCACTTAAGTATGGTTTTTGCTTAGTTGAAGGGAAACCAGATCACCCAATGGAGGACTTTCACGTAGCGAAAATCGTACAGTTCCATGGGCGAGAGTTAGGACTTTTCGCCATATTTGATGGACACTCGGGAGATACCGTTCCTGCCTATTTACAAAAACATCTCTTTGCAAATATCTTGAAGGAAGTGAGTTTTCAACCGATCGATTCCATTCTTTTCTGTTCTATGTTACATATATCTTAGTTTTGTGATTGGTTATGGTAGGAAGACTTCTGGACCGATCCTAACAGTTCGATCATTGAAGCTTATGAGTCAACGGATCAGGCCATTCTTTCTCACAGTCCTGACTTGGGGCGAGGAGGATCGACTGCAGTGACTGCCATTCTTATAAACAATCAGAAGTTATGGATAGCAAACGTTGGAGATTCGCGAGCAGTTCTGTCGAGGAAAGGGGCCGCTATACAGATGAGCATTGATCACGAGCCCAATACTGAAAGACGCATAATCGAGAATAAAGGCGGCTTTGTTTCAAACCTTCCAGGTTCGCTAATAAACCTTTAATTTTAAGTTGGTATAAGAGTTTATCCTAAGTTCCTCACATGTGGTTGCTGCTATATCAGGAGATGTTGCGAGAGTGAATGGACAGCTTGCAGTTTCTCGAGCATTCGGAGACAGAAACCTGAAGTCACACTTGCGATCTGATCCAGACGTACAACCCGACGATATCGATCAAGATACTGAGCTCTTGATACTTGCTAGTGACGGCCTATGGAAGGTAAGTAAAACCTCTAACCACTCTTTTTTGTGCTCTTGGTCTTTGAACTCGAGTTTATGTCTCAATTGATTACATCTCAGGTAATGGCGAACCAAGAAGCAGTTGATATTGCAATAAAGATAAAAGATCCACAAAAAGCAGCTAAACATTTAACTGCAGAGGCATTGAAAAGAGAGAGTAGGGATGATATTTCATGCATTGTAGTTCGTTTCAAGTGATGATACGAGTTCTTCATATATATATGTTTGGAAATCTCAAGAAACCAATTATGAGTTTGGAATTTTATGCAACATAGGTTTGGTTTTTTTCCTATGTAAAATTGTAGCTCTTCAATCAAAATAGATGGATTGAATTCTTCTGTGTAGATTGATACTCTTTTTCTTCTCTTTGTAATTTGCATTGTTGTTTATGACAATGGCTATAAATTGGAGTGACTTTAATTGTTAGGTTGTATCTAAAGTGTTGAGTTTGTTACTTCCTTACTTGAAGACAAGCTCAAATTTTTTATTTACAAAACAGTATATCTACCTCACATTTAATATAATGCACTACCTCGTATTCCTTATTGATGACTATTTCAACGCGCGGAAACTCTTGGCAACACCACATTTTCTTATACCTTTGAGATTTGACTTGGCTATCATCCACTGCTTCATCAAATGCATGTGTGGCTATTTTCATGTTTATATTTCTGGAGAACACGGTTTAATGGCAGCTCAAGTTTGATTTAGAAAAAAATGGATATCATGTTTGATTTGAGAGATACCTTTCATAGCAGATATAAAACATCAAAGCCTTGGAGATTCTTTAAGTTGTTTATTGAGGTCAAGGATTCTAATTACACTAGGATAACAAAAATAATAAACATATTCATACCAAAAAATGAATAATACTACACCTCCGCTGTATTTTATTTATTTATTTATCTGCTTATGCCTTATGCCTTTGTTTGAATTGAAATTGAAAGTTTATTTTTAATTAAGGGTTAATTATATGCCACTCTCTCAGTCATTTGGGTGGGGTTTGTTTTTGCCCCTCTGAAGTAATTTTTTTAGGATCCACCCCTTATAAATTAAATAAATCATTTTCACCACACGCTTTTACTTGTGCGTGCTGACTGTATTGATTTTTATATGCTACGTGGCATTTGGTGTGGATGACTGTGTATATGCCTTGAGAATAAAAGGAGTTTTTCTTCACCACCCCTTCTGTGCCATCGTCACCTTCGTGAGAATAGAGTTTTTCTTTCCCTTCCACTCCAATCTTCGTTTTCCTTCCCTTTCGTCTCAATCACGCGTCATTCTTCTTCGCCCCCTCAATTGGAAGTATAGTTGGAAGCAGTGTTAATTCGGTTTTGTTTCCTAGATTACCCAGATGTGATTGCGATAGAGTGATGAATATGTGGGTGTCCAATATAGTTCAAAACCGCAATCGAAAGTTTTGGAAATGTCGCAATGCTTGGGTAAGTTTGTTTAGTGATTATTTGGCAAAAATTGGTAGAAAGTTTTGATAGAAAGTTTGTTTGGTGATTTGTATTAATGTTAACAAAAGTTTGAATTTTTTGTAGACTGGGAGCAACTGTGAATTATTCCTATGGGATGATGAAATTGGAGACTCCATCAAAGGAAATAGTGCTATTCAACCATTTTGTAAGAAGTGTGAGGTACTGAAAGTGAAATTGAAAATAAACAAAGAAATTGGAGAAATTGAAGATGAAGCTTGAAGCTCAAAGAAGGATTAATATGCAGCTCAAGATAGCATTTATTATGTGTTGTTTGATTATTGGTCTATTGTATTTAGTTGTTTAATATGCAGCTCATGTAATTTTTAGTTGGTTCAATAGTTGTATTTTTCTGGTTATCAGTATAATGTATTTTGTATAATCTTGATATTAATGGAAAGAATTATGTTTCTGTCAATCATCTTGAATATTTTTGGAACATGTTGATATTATATTTCTGCATAAAAAGTACATTCACTGCTTTCTGAAAAATGAATTCACTGCTTTCTGTTAAGACATTACAAAAGAACCAAACTTAAGACATTACATAATAACACTTAACTTGTGCATATGTCAAATAGTATAAAAGGAGCACCAAACTTGTGCATAAGTCAAACAGTACAAAAGGAGCATCAAACTTGTACATATCAGAAATATTAATTCAGCTGTTATATCATAAAACATTACAAAAAGAGCATCAACATTACAGAAAATATTATAGATCATAAATTTATTTCTTCTTTGGAGGCTTCTTAGGTGAACTCCTTGCAACCTTCTTAGGGGAACTCTTTGCAGCCCTCTCAGGTGTATCCTTTGTTGATTTTTAGTAGCACTCTTTGTAGTCTTATTTGCAGTTTGTGATGCATTTCCTTCTTCTTCTTCAGTCAAGTACATAGGTTGGTCCGGGTCAGAACAAGGACTTATGAATGGTTTTGTTTTTTTAAACCAATTCTCCTTAATTATCTCACTTGATCTCTTTCTCAATGACTTGGATTCTTGTTTGACTTTAGCCTTGCCTATACTTGCTGAGCCTTTACTTGTTGTTGTTTGTATACTTGAATTTATATCGGGTAGGCTTGAAATCATATCATCAATTATATCCCCAAACAATGAAGCTTCACTTTGAACATTCACTGCATCAGATGCATCATTCACTGCAGTAACTATACTTTGAGCATTCACTGTAGTAGCTTCAGTCTGAACATCTGCAACATTTGAATCAACACTTGACCTCACTCTCTTCTGCAAAAAGATACTAGTTACATACCAATCTATAACCATACACAAATTACACATAATATACAAAAGATACTAGTTACATACCTTTATTTTCAAGGCATTTGAATCTTGTTTCTTGCTCTTGCATGACTTTACATTATGTTCAAACTTGTCACACTTAGTGCATCTATAGGCCACACTCGACAACCTTCTTCTAGCACCTTCCTCACCAGTCTCCATAATTCTCAATTTCCTTGGTCTACCAGGTCCCTTTTTGTAGTTAGGAGGTAAGAGCTCTTCACTTTCAACTTCAGGCCACATGTCTTGTCCATTTATAGGGCTAAATTCAAATCCATAACACATGGCATACTTATCCCTAGTGTAACATTCATGAACAAACATTTCTGGGTTCTGCTTCCTAAATCCTAAGGCAGCAACAACATGCCTGTAAGGAATACGTACTAACTCCCAAAAATTACAAGTGCATGACCTTTTACCTATATCAACTATGAATTCTTGGGTGTTATAAGAACGAGTGGGTTGAAATTTTTCTCCAATTGACCAAGTTGCCATCCACTGACCACTCATAGCTACCTCAGTGTCTAATCTTTTTCTTGGAATTGGCATAACTCTGTGTGGCCACTTATCAAGTTTTAAAGTAGAATGACTAAACCTATTCATGATATATTTCCTAATCTATTCACACATTGTCAATATAGGTTTGTCTCTAGCAATTAAAATTGTGGCATTAAACGACTCAGAGATGTTGTTCATCAATACATCACACCTAGGATAGAAGCTAAAAGCATGCTTACACCAACTTTTAGGAGGCACTCCAATTAGCCATGACCAATGTCATACGACGGGAGAACTGACTCGGGTGTTTTTGCATTTTATCGCAAATGTTGCGGATAGCAAGAGTCACCACTGACTTTTCTTTTATCCAATAAAGGAAAGGGTGAAAAGAACAGGAAAGACCTTTCGAGATATTTTCTTGAGTTCGGGGGGTAGGTTATGAAAAGGGAAGGTGTTAGCACCCTTTTCATCCGTAGTTATATACGGGCTCTTAGTTGCTTGCTAGATCACTTTGAAAAATGCTTTATTTGAAATGTGTTTATGGTGGGTTTTTGAAAGTATTTTGAAAATGCCTTTGTTTTGGAATACTTTGTAATGATTCTCGTCTCTATAAGAATGTAGACAAAGTGTTTGTTTTGAAAATAGTTCAAAGAGATATTTGTTTTTGAAGATGTTTTTGAAAGTGTAAGTGTGAAAATGGTTTTGATTTGTGAGCAAGCAACTACGAGTGTCCTACCTACTCAAAAGGTCTTTGTTATTTTCCTCCTCCTTTATATGTTGTTATCTTACCATTGATTGGTAAGAAGCCCCATCATTGGATGTGAATGGACGGGTGTGGGTCAATCGTATAGTCATAGAAGGCAATTTATGAGACGTTTTTAGAAATTTTCGTAAGGGACTAGATCGTTTATCGAAGGCAACATCCAGGGACATCGAGGGAATATGATCTTTTTTTATCGAGGGTCTTTTCTAAAACGCCCATATTCGAGGGACATGACTATTTTCCGAGGCAACAAGCGGAGTTACCCTAGAGGTGTACGGGTGAACAGTGTGTTTGATTGCATGCATTTTTTGTCTTTGAGATTAGGGTTTTCTAACGGTTGATTTTATCTTGCCTTACACACCCTAATTACTAATAATTTATATTAAAACGGTAAATTGCGGAAATTAAAATCCTAAGCTATTACATCATTAGGGGAGTGGGGGTACAATTTACAAATAGGGATGGAGTAGAAACTTAAATATTACAACCATATCGAATAATAATGAAGACAATGTAAAAAGAGTGTAAAATAAAGGAAAAATTGAATTTTAAACTGTTATATGTCGACACATGCTGCTATGCATCGACACATAACTTTCCTTGCTCCTGTAAAACCAAACCAACTATGTATGAGTCGACGCATACTGGGATATGTCGACTCATGCACCTGTTTATGTCAACACATACGCGTTTTGTGTCGACTCATGCACCTTTCACCCTTCTGTTTTGGGGCCTGGATAATAGTATGAGTCGATGCATAAGGCTATGTGTTGACTCATACCCTACTTTTTCATTAGAATGAGTCGACCCAAGTGGGCATGTGTTGACTCATGCTGCAGTTTTTTGCCTAAACATTGTTTTATGGTTTGTACAGGTCAGTTTACAGCATATGATTTATAAACATAAACATCAAGCAAATGGTTATCTCAAAGGGGGTAATGATTACTACATTTTATCTTCAAAAATAAATCGTTTGATGATGTATGAAAAAAATGCAAAGTCGCGAATACTTACCTTGAGACTGTACTTGGTGTTTTAAGTTTGAATACTTTTCAAAATGTTGTGATGGCTCCAATGAATCTCCAGGAAGCTGTTCCAAAACTGTTGAATCACACTAACTCAGTCAAGTTATACTGTACTATTTTTTATGTTTGGAGGGT